CTACTAAGAGCGTGGGGGGTAGCCAGGTCACGACTAGCTCTTCAAAACGTGAACCTATATGGATATGTTTCAATTTGTTTTTCAAAAGCAACTTTGATGTTAGATGAGGCAATTGTAGTGCTAAACAGAAGAAACTCACTCTATTAGAAGCAACTAATTAGTAACTATAAGCGACTAATTAGTAATAACGAACAACTTTCAAAAAAGAGGTAGGTAACACCACATCACCTTCATAAGCAACTTTCCTTCTACTAGAGGCAACTTTAGTTAGTTCACCAAAATAGGCAACTTCACTACATTTGATGTCCTAGTTAATTTTGTGTAACATTCTCCTAACTTGCTCACCGCTACTTCTAAGTTGCCTACCATTCATGCTTGTATGTTGTTATTTCTAAATTGCCTATAATACAATGAAGTCGCCTGTCGTCGATGCTCTATTGTCTGCCATTGCTAGTTATGATCGGCAACAATAAGCCACTCACTACTAATAGTGAACAACTTCGAGAGGTAGATAACATCACATAACCTTCCTAACCATTTTTCGTTCTACTAGAGGCAACTTTAGTGCTAAAAATAGCCAACTTCACCAAATTTTGTGTTCTAGTTAATTTTGCCCGACATTCTCCTAACTTGCGCACCGGTGCTTTTAAGTTGCCTACGGTCCTTGCTCATATGCCGTTGTTTCTAAATTGCCTATAATATTCCGAAGTCGTCTACAGTTGATGCTTTGTTGTCTTCTATTGCTAGTTATGGTAGGTAACTTGATGGTGAATCTAGTTAACTTGATAGTAATGGTAGCTAACAATATAAGGACTTTCTATTGTAGGCATTCATGCTAGACAAACCAAGAAGAAATTACTTTTCTATAGCATTAAAGTTGCCTCCATAGGATTTTTTGTTGTTAGGCAATCATACTGGGAAAAAAGAAGTTGCTTCCTATAGCACTAAAGTTGTCTTAATACCACCCAAAGTTGCCCAAGAAAAAAGTTTGTCCAAACCTACCCATATGGGATCTAGTTTTGAAGAACTCGTCGCGGGAAACCCAACAGTGAAAACAGATCTGAGTTCCGAACCAAAAATTATAGCTATTTAAATTTTTTGAAACCCAAATAAATGCATGTGGGATAGGATCGTAGTTGATTTCCTTGTAAGGTGAAGACGTCGAGTACTTTCCCTTCTGGATTCGGCTAGCTTTGGAATCACGTGGTGGGGGACACTAGTTTTGCTTTTCTGGGAAAGTGACTGACCGACTTTCCGTATATGGGCAACTGCTCGTCAGCCCCAATGAACGCACGGGCGCTGGCTAGCCATGTCCAAAATAATGAGAGGCCAAATCGACAATACTACTTAATTGCATCACTTCGCACCCGCCACAGGTATTATGGTCCTAGATTAGCCATGGGCCAAACATACCAGTGGTGAGTGTGTTGGCCCGCCCGCCACTCGTAACTGAGTTACGAGTGGCGGTCTATGCTACCCACCCGCCCAGATTGGCCCAAATTAGCCATGGGCTAATATCTGAGCTCAAACTACCGGTGGCGGTTAAAACATGACGACCGCCACTGATACTTTACAAATCAATTGCAGGCTCTCTTGCCACCCACCACTGGTACATTTTTAGGTATTTATTGTCATTTTTAGGGGTTTAGGGTATTTTGGGTTTTGGCGTTTTATGGTTTTATGATATTGTATGGGTAATTGCAAAAACAATATCGGTTGTGGGACTTAGAAAACAACCAATGGCTGGTCATGTCTACTATTACCCGAACTACTATTACCCGAACTACTATTACCCGAACTGTTAGACCCTTCGACTGTCAGTAAGTTCATTCCACTTAATTACTTTCTAATTAAATCAACCCTCACAACACCTCCAGTAAGTTCATTCCACTTAACCCTAGGCCACACAAGGACCTGGCCAAATTCCCCTTCTTCCTTTGCCCAAATCCCTAGCTGCCCATCGCCCTCGCCTTGCTTGCACGGTCGTCACCCTCGCCAGTCACGCGTGCCCGGACCACCCTCACCGCCGCACGGTCCTGCCCAACTTGGTCACCGGGTGCATCTGCCTCAGCCACCACAGTAAGCTCTCTCCCTCTTCTCCCTGTTGATCAGAAATTCAATCTCGAGGCCTAGGGATTTGATTCTCATGACGCAAATCTTAAATTCAACTCATTAATTAGTTCTAGTATAGTTAAAAGATATAGTTCTTAGTTATGCAATTCTGATTAGTTCTAGTATATAGCTCCCAGTATAGTTACAAGACGTAGTTCCTAGTTCCTACTTCTAATTAGTTATAGTATAGTTCCTAGGTAGTTGGATGCATATGTATAACGTGATAAATCAATTTATCTATGTAATGAGATGCCTATATAATGTAATGTGCAAAAAAGCTGCCACGACAGCAAAAAAATCTGACATGGTAGTGCTTTACGTTGCCATGGCAGCGTTCATTTTTCACCTAGGGGGAGGTTACCGGTGGCGGGTGGGGGAACATGCCGCCACTAGTGTGCCACATACAAGGGTGAATAGGCCAGCCCCCACTGGTAATAGGTTGCCAACCATGGGTGAGAAATGACGCCCGCCACAGGTAACATATTACCAGTGTCAGGATACCATGGCGAGGTGCCCTACCCACCACTGGTAGCCTTATTGCAACCGCCACTGGTAGGCATTGCTGCAGTAGTGTGATAAGCTAGTTTAAACTACACAAGGATTGTTCGAGGCACAGGTACATGCTGGATACCAGCTACACTAGAGGACTGTAATCTGGTGCTCATACTTAACAAACTTTGAGTATTAGTATGACTATCATGCTACTGCAAATTTTGGGAAGGTTGTAGCTGTGAAATGCTAGGATAAGGAGCTTGACCTGGAGGTGGCTGGAATTGTTGTTGTATTTGTGGCTGCACTGGCTTCCTTTGTGAGTTCAAGATACTGATAATCTGTTTCTCATATCGAGGAACTTTGTCCCTCATAGCAGGTTGGACAACACTTTTACCAATTTGCATCATTTGTAATATGCGCTCCAACATTATTTTAAAGCTCTTCATTCTATCATACTGCTCAGATGATATTTGAGGTGGAATAATGCTGTCAACATGCTGTAGCTTCACACACACCTTATTGAATAATTCACTGAGTTCTGCAAAGTATTGGTCCTTTAACCTCTTAATCTGTCGACAACAAAGACCACATACACATTAATTTGGTGCAGAAGCAATATAGAGATGAAAAGAGAACAGCTAATAGACCATGGTTTGTCATCAAGTCAGAAAATATGGCATTGGCAAGATATTTCAAGTAGCTTTTAGCAGCACATAAATCTAGAAGAAAATAAGAAACTTTGATGCCCATTAAATAAAATAGCTTTAATAAAGATTGCTATCTGCCTTGAGACTTTACTACATGTAGATACACTGTATGGTTGTATGCTCCATACTCCGCATTCAAACAGAATTCCGTATACATATAATATATATCTTATAAGTGGAATGCCAGAATGTAGTGCATCTACACACTTGCTGTATGAAATTCCAAAAGAGGAATTTCTTGGAACACAGACCAAAAGAAAAAGAGATAGACAAAATGAAGTGCAAAAGTAAAAGGCCCCAACATCCAACATGGTGTGTAGTTTCATCTTCTAACAATCTAGATCAGGGCAATCTCAACATCTTTGTTCTAGGGGCCACTGTCTACGAATTTTAGGAAGTACCAAGAAAGGGAGTGCCAAAAAGGATGATATCAGTATCATGTCTTACCATTTGATGTATCTCCTCTTGCCAATCACCTGCACTTGCATGGCCTGTTTGAGCAGTAGAGTCCGCAGATGCTGCATAAAAAGCAAGATTGGCAAAGAGTATCAGGATAAAATGAACAAAGCCAACAAATAACAAGCTACAAGTACATCGTAGGCATTGATGCAGAGGCCGGGGGTTTAACCTCCTTTTCGAAAAGAAAAGAAAAACATCGTAGGATGGAACGCAGTGGCAATTGGGGAACTTGTGAACCAAATCAAACAATCACAGAAGATCAATATGGTCAGCTTAGTCAATATGATTATCGCACAGTAGCATTTTTCCAGAAAATTTCCAACAAATAAGAAAAACCAATGTGCTGAACAGAAGTCACTGAAGATCAATAGGGTCAGTTTAGTCAACAAATGATTACAGAGTACTGGATCACTAAACATCGCAATATAACTCCATCTTCAAGCTGTCCATCTATCCACCGTAGTTCAGGCAAAAAAAGATTGAAATGCAGTTTTGAAGCCTTAGGACTAACTTCACACCACTCGATAGTTCTAGGACCTGTGGCGCATTTCACTTGTCAAAAATCATATAATTGCATCTGAATTATGAATCTGGTTGTCATCTTCAAAGAAGTTTCAAAGAACATTCAAGCTAGTTCATGTAGCATCACATTAATTTCATAAACTGCTTTGGGTCATACTTAGGGCAAACCCAGTGCAATAATGCCGGTTGTATCTAAAACATGCCATCTGTGCAGAAGTCCAAATACTGTTGAAGTGGCCTAGTTAGTGAGGAAAAAGAGAGATATTGTTGTATCTTATGAAAATACAACTCTTATCGGGTAACCCGAAATAATTTTTTTCCTCCCACAAAACATATTAAATGGCAACTCCATTAGATATAACACTAAGATATAAGCCATTGGAAGAGTTATATCTACACATATTTAATGCATATGATACAACGCAAGATACAATGCACCGCGAGTGCCCTAAGGGTTCAATAAGAGTTAGGATCCAAAAATTCGGGTTGTAGTCTCATACGGACCTTGTATTATAGTCCAACGTAATTGTTAGCACGATAAGTAAGGGTGTGGGGGTCCTGATGGACAACACATATTTTTCCCTAAACTTTTCTATGTAAGTAAGGCAAAAATAATGAGAGGCCAGATTGTTAAGCTAGTTTAAACCGCAAAAGGAATGTAAGGTGACAACAGGAAGATTGATATAAGAACATGGAGAAAAAGAAGATGAGAACAATAAGAGCATATGATGGATCTACAAAAAAAGTATATGTGAAAAGTGAAAACTTACTACTAGAGGAAACTTCTTGAAGGCCCCTCTGTGCCTGAATAAACTGGTTTTGCTGATCCATGTTATTTTGTTGCAAGAGCATGGCTCCTGAAGTTTGAAGTCTTTGCTGCATGGTGGATTGCTGCTGCATCCTTAATTGCTCTTGTAGTTGGTTAGGCTGGCACTGGAACTGTGGCATAAGATGTTGCAATTGTTGAAGTTGGTTGTGTTGAAACTGAGGTTGCATCAAACCCATTGGTGGATGCTGAGTATGTTGTTGCTGTGGTTGCTGAGCTTTTGTTTGTTGCATATGCATCCACTGCATGTTTGACACATTAGGCACAGTTCCAAAAAGTTGCTGCTGCTGTTGATTTTGTTGATGCTGCTGTAGACTCGACATGTTTGCCTGAGAGCCCAATTGTTGTGGCTGATACAAAGGCATATACTGCTGGTTCAACATCTGATGTGTTTGCTGCACATTCAAAAGAACATTTGACTGAACTGCTAGCCTCTGTTGCTGCTGCATCATCACAGCACCATTCTGTTGACCAATTAGCTGATTTTGTTGTAAATTTGGCTGTTGTCCCATCAACTGTTGTTGCTGCTGTTGTAAAGGAATATTGGGCTGCTGACTCTGCAGAGAAGGCTGTCGATGCTGGTGATAAATTAATTGCTGAGATTGTTGCTGTTGCTGCCTGCCTGCCATTTGCCTTTGTGCAGCATAAACATCTTGTGAAGTGCCTTGCGCCAAGCCATTATTCATTGTGTTTTGTGGAATGACAGACGCAATCTGCATCGTTGATGTTTGGTTGACACCTGGCAAGTTCTGTCTGATATTAGTGAGTGAAGAAGCTTGTACAGATGTAGAAGCATTTGGCTGCCGGGCCTGTTGCTGAGACATCAAGGGAACTGCTGATGTCTGTGCTTGATTACTACCTTGTGGATGGAGTCCAGGGGCTGTTGCAGGAAAGGTACCATATGTGTGTTAATAAAGTATCTTGTGAACAAATACTTCCTGTGGAACTGTAACAGGCACACAAAGTGTTGAAAGCAGCATATTACAGATCAAATGAAGGCGTTCTGCATTTTCAATGAGAAAAATAAATGTGCCAGAGCAATTAAAGGACTGGCAACCTGATTTGTTTTCGAGAGCATGCAAACAAGTGTTTGCATATCTTTTTATTAATATGAGAGTCAACGTAAATACAGCTGACAGCTAACCAACTGATCTACCTTCTAAAGGTAGCAAGGAGGGAATAAACATAATTCTACAAAGAGCTGAAGATCGCTGCTGTGAACCGGTGAAAACCCGATTGAACAACCCAATCCGGCGCTGTACCAGGGGTCAACAAAATATTCTGTATGTGCGAGGAATCTGACCATTTTAAGGTAGGAAGGCGGATTACCCCAGTTGAATAACTAACTAGTCTGTTCATTTGTTATCTTCGTACTTAACATTGTTTCTACCATACTAACAGAAAAACCATGCTATAATATTATATTGAACCAATAGGTTGAACTGAGGCACTTACTGTGTCGCTCCAAGTTCAATAACTACGTACACATGACACAAGCTAGATGCAAAAAGCTTATACATTATGCTGAAGAGGGTGGAGGGTGATTTAATGCAATAAAGCACATAATATCAGCACTTGATGCAATAAAGCACATAATCTCAGCACCCGATGCAATAAAATATATTGACATCCAAGCGAAGATGATAAATTGTGCAGCACAGTTTAGTGTATATGGTACGTTACCAGGGTTGTTTTGATTTGGAACCAGCTGAGCATTTCCAGCAGCCTGCTGTCTCTGCGTCTCCATGGAGAGCAGCTTCACAGAAATCTTCCGCAAATAATCATACTGAGTAATACAAAAAGAAAATGATGTAAAGTTCTATACCAAATTACTGACAGTGGCTCACAACCAACAGTTATTGTGTGGTTAGCAGTTTCGCACGGTCAAGGATATGTTAAATTACCTGACTGGTTGCTTCGGTATAGACCTTTTCTTCAAACCGCGCAGCGATTTTTTGAAGTTCGTTCAGTGCCTCTGGCGCCACAGACACAGATACTGGCAGATGATTCTTCAGAGTGTCCATTCTACACGCACAATGCAAAATGTGGATAAATAGCACGAATAGAATGGTTTGCCCTAGGTGATCAAACGATGTGCCATGGCAAAATTGTGTTAAAACTGTTCACAGTTAATGGAGTGATTAAGCAGGATTCAAAGCAGGGGGGATTTTGACTATATATATAGGAATCAAACAGAAACTGGGAGCTAGATCGACGACGGACGAATCTGTTGGCGCCGCTACGAATCAGTATGCACGAAACTGGAGGTTTAGATCAAAGCAGCTCTCATCAGACGGATCGATGAAAAAAAAAATCCTCTCTTTTTCTTCTTTGTGGGAAACCGAAAAAGCGGAGGAACGGGAAATCGGATCAAATCAAATGATTTAGAGCGAGTCCCTACATACACACGTACATCTTATCGACGATCCTGCCGCGCGCCTCGGGCTGGAGCTGGGCGCGCCAGTCGCCTCCGGCGGGGGGCGGGTCAGCGCCGCCGCCGCCGGCGGCGGCGGGGCCAGACCCTTGGGTGGGCCGCCAGTTGGGATCCATGGTCCGGATCGGCGATTCGCGTATGCTGGTTAGGTCTCGAGGGGATCGATGGAGGTGGAGTGTCACCACCCAATCTCTCTTCTTTCCAATCCAATGAGAGAGACAGAGAGGGATCTGGGGGAGAGGAGAGGAGAGATTGCAGGGGAGGGGAGGGGAGGGGAGAGGTAGAAGAAACTGCAGAGCCAAGAGAGAAACTGACACATTAATTCAGAGTTTTCTGCGCTTACAGGTGGTCCCCACTCGGCCACAGCACCGGCTCACGGAGCCCACGCCACAGCCCGTATGTTTTTTTTTTCCTTTCCTGAGAAACTTGCTGAGGCAGGCAGGAGCTCTGCCATTTCATACAAGGAAAGGAGGAGACTCACCAAAAAAAAAAAACACTAGGGTTTGGGTAAGGTTTAGACGAACACATACGCACTCAAACCTCAAGGACGTGTGAGCCAGACATAAGAACGCCAAGGCCCAAAACAGTGACAAAGGACGGAAAAAAAGTAAGGTGGGGCGAACCTTGCATCGACAACCATCTCGGCAACACGTCATCCAACGTCGGCCACTAGCAGTGTCGCTGCACCGCTGCTGCTCACCTGTCGCCTGCACCGACAGCTGGGCCTTGTCTAGCCTCCACTGCTCCGATTGTTTGCCAGACCGACCGACCGACCGCCTCCCACAGTGGCCACTATCGCTAGGGTTGTTTGCTCGCTCGTGTGGTGACTGCCGAGATCCGACGTTCATTCGGTTGTTGTCGTGTGCTTGATTGAGTAGTGATACCCACCTCTCCCCGAGCAAGGCCGGTTCTGATGGATCGGTTCATTTGCCGTAGGACGTGCGATCGAACATAATCACTTTGCGGGCAACTCCTAACAAACATCAATGAAATAGATCGCCTAAGTTCTCATTTGCATATGTTTTTTCTCCTTTGTGGATTATTTGTCAAATATGTTATTTGTAGGTTGCTTTGCTTCTCGGCTCCAATTGGGCTCAGGTGCCCTTTGAACTACCTCCAAAGTAGGACATCGACAATGTCGTTGGTAAATATAAATGGTAGACACAAACATAATGTTTGAATGATGACGAGAAAACTTGATGTAGCCACCAGCAGCGGGAGTTGAATGATACTCCAAATACCCCACTGGTCGTCAGGGTATTGGGATCCTTCCTCCACCGGCTTCGCGTCCGTCTCATCCCTGCGAGTTGTTTCTTTCATGTCAGGTGGCTGTTGGGTTGTGGCACCGCTTCTTGCCATGGCGCTCCATGGCCGGATACCGTGATTTCAGTTGTCCACCCGATATTTGGATTAATGCCATAGAAAAAGAACGGCAGGCGCACAACTGTAAAACAACATGGAAGAAAAAACACCCAGCCACCGCCCTGAGGCCCCCGCGTCGTTCCCGCTAGGGCGACTCAG